ACGGGTAAGGCAAAAAAAAAAAAAAAAAAAAAAAAAAAACATTTCGAGGCTGCGGGCTTGGTCCCGCTCGGCCAACATGTAATCATTCATTGGCCAATAGGTTGCTATTACAACAAAGAGACGTCACTCAACTGGCGTTGACCTGGGTTGGGTGGCCAAACGGCGTAAAAACTTGCGTCGACTTGCGTGTAAATTTGATCGCGGCCAAAGTGAGCGCACGTCATCGCCAGTCAACTCAGGTGCTCCCAAGACCTGGCCAAACGGAGTCGCAAGTAGACCCAAGTTTTCAACTTGCGTCTACTTGCGAGTCCGTTTGGCCACGCCTTAAAGAAATTAAGAGGTGAAATGAGGAAAGGAAATGCTTTCTTGGCTCGTAATGTCAACGGAATTGATTGGCTAGTTTCTTCTTTGAATTCCAAACATGATAATTGTAGTGATAATTTGAGTGATCTACAGGACGTTACACACGTCAATCCAATTTTGAGTTTTGAACGGGACATCCAATTGTACGTCGGTAGTGATGGCAAGATATGTTAGTCTTAGTTTTCAGGTCAGTTTGCATTGATTTCTTTTGCGAATCGTTGGCTATTTAACAATTACACTGTGGTGATAGTAAGCAAAGGATGTAGGACCAAGTCACTTATCAAAGTCTGTGCAGTACAGATATTAAGAGCAGGAAGTGATATTGTGTGACAGTTGTCAGCGTGCAAAAACTTCAGTTATCGGTCGATAAATTGCGCTTCCGCAGTCAACAGATCAGTCGAGTGTTTCAACTGATAGCGCTTTGGTTTTGTTTTCAAATGACGAAGACAAAATCATTCGAAAAACAGAAAACACTTTCCTACATAAGAACACAATAGCTAACCAACAATAGTTTTTCCCCTGTTTTCTGATAGTCGGTGCTTAGCACGCGCTGTAAGTTTGGAGAACACGGAGAAGCATAACTTGTAGCGTCTTGAGAACCCTCGAAATTTCCCAAGTGCATCATATCTCGATACTGTACAGCTACGATCATGATTGAATTACCTTATACTCCTTGATAGAGCATTGCCAACTGAAATTTGCGATGCATTAAACCCCGCCGAATTTTCTTAACAAAGCAAAACGCGACGCGTGGCTCTGGATCTGCTTGAATTAGAGTCGCTTTTCTTGTTTGCCTCCTCTCCTAAAACTCCAACCCTCACTGAAAAATTAGGTAACTTTGCCCCCCTTTCCGCGTCGTATGCTTGTATGCCATTCTCGCAGAGGTTAAGTTATATTATTATAACTGACCATAACTGGATCGTTGGATAATGTAATTCGAAAGATTTCATTGGCTTAGCCATCAGGGCTCGTTGGCTATCTATCATCTCATATCCAACCAACGGTCGTGGAATAATTGTTAAATATTTCGTGTATTTCGAGTTTCTAAACAGCCCACAAAACCGGTCCGGACATCAGCGACAAACTCCGCTTTTTACCTTATTGGATATGGCGTCCCTGAAGATAGAGGAGTTCCGAAAAGGATGATTGTTACACCTAAGTTGTGCCTTAACAAGTATCCCACTTATATCTTGCTATGAGTCTTGTTTGAAAAGAAAGATACCCATGGTACGTTAACTTCGAGTCAAACTATGCAAAGTATAGTCTTAATCAATTAAGTGTTTCTATCCAGGGACTACGACGAAGATAGTTTCCCACGGAAATACCAGGGCGAGTGATTTAAAAGCTTTCCGAGTGTTCTCCCAACATCCCAAATGAACTATTTACAGTTTGTCAAAGAGAGGAAATTTTATTGAACTTCCGTGTTTAAGTTACTTATTATCAGCAAAATCATGAGACAAACAGATTACAATGGCTTAAAGAATGAAGCACAGGCTCAGCTCCACACAAAAAGTCCACAGAAAAGGCGAAGAAAACTGATAGCGCCATAACTGTTTTTTCTTAGAAAGGAAAGGAAAAAGGCTATCAGAGAAAGGCAGAAAGTTAACTAATTTATTGAAAAATACTCATCATGAAGGCTTAAGACTGTGCAAATGTTTGGACTGCGTAGTACAAACTTCATACACTTGGCGAAGTGATTCAACGATAACATACAAACGTTTTGCGAATTAAATAAAGGAAGTTTCAGGACGCAACGGCAGCTGATGCGGCAGGTTATGAATTCAGTTCGGCACGGCAAGAGCACGTCGCGCTACTGTCGTGAGGCACGGCAAGACCTGCCAAGCTGAATAGTCGTGCAGAACTTAATTGACCAGCCGAAATGAGTGGTTCAAACGTTGTGCAACTGCCGTGCTTAAGTCGAATTTAATTTTTAAATTTAGTTCGGCACGGCCAGTAGCACGACGTTTCGAATAGGGCCTAAATTGAAAAAGGTAAATTGGCCGCCGTAGAAAGTTTGTGAAGCTGACGATTGAAAAACGGCACAGTGAAATATTTTTATATTATCAAATTTTGATAAGCATGATAAGACGCAACTTTTGGCAAAATTAAAACAAAAAAATCCGTACATAGGGTGCAGAGCCACCTTCAATTTTCAAAAGTTTAAGGTGGCACTGAACCCTATGTACCTTGCCGTTTTTGAATTATAAGCCCCTAACATAGAGTGTTTTTAGCAGGTCTTACTGTTGCTATGGTAACCTATTGTGTCACGAAAATGATAACAATGTGTTCACCAATGATTGGGGAGATTTTTGGTACCAAGACTGTAGCATCAAGTGATAAAGAGTGGTTATAATAACCCATCAAAAACTGTTTTGAGCCACCTTAAGACGAAGGGCTGACGCTCGATTGGAAATGTCACCTTCCTAAACTCGATCGTTGAGCAGGTTAACTTACCTTTTTAAACAATTTCAAGTTAATAATTAACCCAGTGTTTTACTTGCTCATGGACGCATGCGGCCAACAGTTTTAAGAACGGTAGAAACCTTGCATATTACAGTGCCGCTCAATGTTTAGTAGTGTTTGGATCCATTAAAAAAGTGGTTTCCCTTAGCTGTCACTGGCTTTTATACTTCGAGTAGAGTAGAATCCCGATTCCTCGAACACTCGACCTCTGGAACTTTCCTCAGTCGCTTGCCTGGTTTTGTCTTACTCTACCCAACCCTCCTCCGATGCCTGGAAATCCGGTTTTCTCGAGCCAGTTTTCCGTTTCGATTTCTATTGGACGTTCGAGAACTCGTCGCCTATTTAACTCGGCACCTGAAGTGCTCCGCTACGTTTTTCACGATTTGTTCATAAAACAGCCCGAGAGAGCTTGAGAGAAATACAGGGACCTCTAATCACTATATCATAAACAGCCGGTTTCAGATCGTTTAAAAAATATTGAAACAGCACCACGGAAGGCGAGGATCGCGAAAACTAGCGTCCACTTGTGGTGCCAACAAATGGGCGGGTCGCGAAAATTCCAGTCGGAATAAGGTCAGTAGTGTGTCAGGAGTTGTGCGTGTGCACCTCATGACAAAGACCAGCGTCCCATCGTACATGTTACTCCATCGCCTAAGCTCTGTTCTCAACCCGGCCACAGCATCAATCCCCACCCCTGAGGTTACTAAAACAATAAACAACGTACCATTACGACTATTTGGCAAAACAAATGAAAAATCTCCGAATCAAAATGTTGCAAAATTTATCTATTTTAAAATACTTAGTTTCCAGCAATCGGTTATTGAGCGAGGTCAGAGTCTATACTATATGGTCTACAACTTTAAGGTTAAACCAACGTATGTTTTGCGCGTGGAATTAAAGTCAATGTTTGATGAAAAGCTTACATTTACTATGTCTTAGTCCTTGCTGAGTTTCACTAGCCCTTCTAATGCCGTAAATTCAGCATTGCTGAGGTTCTGATTTCCATCTTCAGATAGCGTACCATGCGCGTCAATTTCGTTCCTCTTTTCAATTTTCTCCGGGGGTTTGTGATCAAGTTGATCTTCTTCATTCCAGTTTTTGAGCCATCTTCGTTTTAACGAATTTCCGACAAGATTGGCACCTGGTGTAGAACAGCTTTCTTCTTTATCTTCGACGACGTCTTCTTCATCACTCGACTTCCGATGAGGTGCTTCATTGTTTTTAATATCAAAGAAACTTCCGCTTAGTTCGTCAGAAAAAGATTGTTTCCTCTGAAATCTCAGGGTGTCCAGTGCTTGTTCTTGTTTAGCAAGAAGGGTTTTTAAATTTCTTATCCTTTCCTCTCGGGCGTATATTTCCAAGATTTTGGCGTCTTGGACATTTTCCAAAGCTTTCTTATAGGTTCTTGATTTCTGTTTCTTTCGATGTAAGCCACCATTTTGAAATGAATCGAGATCGCCTGTTCCATGTTTATTTTTAGAATCGAAGCAGTCCAACTTTTTTGGTGACCACTTAGTTCCCTTTTGCAGCTTTTCTTCTGACGTTCTGCAAGCTTTCTCGTGTGGAAGCGAAGTATGATTCCAGGAAAAATTGCTGTGTGGACTGGTACCACAGGAAATCGTTTCATTGACGCCATGTTTGTTTGAAAGTTCGCTCAGTGTCAGTGGCATCGAGTGCTTTACCCAGCTTCGCTGAACGTTCCAATCGTCACTAGACAGGTCATCCTTCTTCTCAGTTGCAGGTGCACATCTTTCAGGGTAAATAGATTGAGCTTGCGCAGGCTTGGGATGCTGACCCATTGCCGAGACATTCCACCACGTTGCCGTAGTTGTTCCTCCTTGAAGAGAGCTGTGTTCAATCTTCTCCCGATATCTCTCGCTGTTGTTGTCTTCGCTTTGATGTTCGTCTCGAAATATTTTTCCTGTTCCACTTAATGGTAGAAAATTGACGTCGCCTTGGTAAATTGAGTTTTTATTTGAAGTTAACGCGCTGTTCCCATTGCATTTCTCACTCTTGCTTCTCAAGCGCGGATCTCGGCTGCTTAACTTGGTGGAAGAGGTTTGATGTATACTTGGGAAATGCTGTTGATTGTGGTAGCTAACCTCATCTGAGGTGCCATACCATGGCCAATAGTTTGTTACAGCTTCGTTACCTTTAACCACGGAGTCTGTATTCAACCACCTGGTATATGAAGTTGTTTCATCAACAACTGGCGTTGTCGGAGACTGGCTGCGAGCTGCAGATTGATAAAACGCGGACGTCCTGGGATCGGTTGGGTGTTGGATATAAGTAATAAAGTCACGTATTTGCATCTTGTCAGATAAAGTTGTAAGTCGATCCTTCTCTGGCCAAACTGCTATGCCATTGCCGTTTCCCTGCGTGCATTGCGCATTTATAACTTGATCTCCTCCAAGGCGTCCCTTTGTTTGAAGCGCCTGATTATACCCATTTGTTTTTCGACTGAAACAGCCACTTTGCTGTGAATTTTTGTACCTATTTTGATTACGGAGGGTGTTTGTCCCCATCTTGTCACTGGCGATGATACATTCCGCACAGCCACATTTTCTAGCCCAGAAAGGGAAAAAGCTTCCATCCCCTGGAAAACTGCTGTAAATACTTGGCTTGCTCTTATCGTTTGTCCTGCAGAAGTGAACAAGATAAACAGTTTCATGCATACAGTAGGCAAATCGCTCATTTAGGAATCATTATTTTCAATCGTTTTAAATACTTGAGTGAAAACAATTGACACTTTCGGTGGGCTTTGGCAGAACGATTGTTTAGGCATTTTCCCAATTTTTGGCTTAATATCTCAATGGATTGGAATGCGTTATATTTTTAATCACCATTTTACGATACTGTTAAACGCAAACTTTCTATTTTCTTGAAGATCATTTTCAGGCCGAGATCAGTCACCGATTTATAGACAGTTGCAGCGGTTAACCTAGCAAAGCTTGCAGTTGTCAGATCTTCATCAACGCTTTCGTGTGCTGCAACTGAAAGGGTCTCCAGTATTCAACGCCTACAGTTATGGTGCAACGGGGTCAAAAGCTGTCTGAAAGCTGGTATCAGGGAAGTAAATGAGTAATAAATCCTCGCAAGTCCCCCACTTCTTGCTTTACACATGTGAAAATGTCGCCCCTCCAGTGAATCATTGAAGTAAAAAAATATAAAAAAAATATTTAGTCTGGAGTATACGAATATAACGTACTCGCGAGTATTTACTCACAAGAAGTTTCAACTGAACGTTTTTCATTAACAATCAACTCAACTACTGCTCTGTTAGGAAAATTTCAACCTTATACCCAGAGTCGGAACTCCCCAGTCGCTCTATGCGTCAAGCTAGCGCGGTACTTGAGGAACGGGATTGGGAACACGAAGAGGACTAAGACGAGGAAGAAGAAGAAGCACCTGGTTAACTGGATTGCTAAAGAAACGACTTGGGATAACAGGAAATGCCACATGCTTGGCACATTGTTTTTCTTAAGTCCTTCAAGTTTAAAGTATATGGCTATTCATTGAGGTGCCATTTCGCTATGAGTATGTTTTTTAGGTTTGACAACACGTGGTGGTGTTGCCTTACAAAAAGCTCTATTTTCTTTCGTTTGGTTTTGTTTTTCTGGGTTAGTGACGCTTTTCTATCAGAGAATTTAACCTCTGAGTTGTATTTTTCTACAATTCTAGCTGGGTAATTTCTATTTTGAAGGCCTGTTTGAAATTACTCACGTTTACATCAAAAGTAAATGTAGTTTCTGTTTCTAAGATTTCAGCGGTGAATTTGGATTCTAATTTCGACCGTCTAACATCCCCTTTTCCGCACGAAAAAAAAAAAAAAAAAAATCAATAATTCCCTTTTCCCGCCATTAATATAACTAACTTCCCGCCTCCTGCCGACCCCTTGCAATCCCTCGTCCCGCCTTCAAATTTCATTCCATCCCGCATCCCGGAAAAAAAAAACACACACACATGATCCCGCATTCCGCGAACCCTATGCTAGACCCTCTTCATTCACTGGTAATGACAGCTGCTTCTTCTTGTACACATTTGTTACAGTTTTAGTCGCAATCCAATTTCCATCGCGAGTGGAGAAGTCCAAAGTCTCTTTTGTAGTTTGGTTAGATCGTCAATAGATTATGAGGTATAAAAGGCTGAATCTAGTTCAGGCTACGCCGACGGTTTTCATTTGTATATCATCGACATTAAAAATCTTGTCACAAACGAAATAGATCAAAATAGAACTATGAAACTGAAAACTGCTCTAAAAACCAAAGGACCGACGTAAATATTTGTTTTCTGTTTCTCACTATATTCAGAAATAATCATCTGAGAATAAATTCCTTCTAAATAAAGCACGATCTACTACAGTAGTTATGCTGGGACTTTTATCAAATTTCCCTATCACGGTTGGCGCCGGTCAAAATGAAATCAGAAACAATTACCGTGAGAAAATTAAATTCCTCGATCGACGAGTTCGAGAAATTTCCATGTAGTATTTAACAAATTAAGATATACCCTTACGTGCAACCTTTAAAATTTAAATTGCATTTAGGATAATTATTGTGACGCTTTTAAATAAATGGCATCCTTTGAAAAGCTGGCACACGGATGATTTCCTTGGATATGCACCTGTCTCAGCAAATAACAGCAACGCATGGAATGGCTTTTAACACAATATAAAACATCACCGAGAGACTGAAAACCCTGAAACATGGTAAAAGCAATACATTTTTTTTTTCATATTTTAAGCCAAAAATCTTCCCAGAATCATGAAAAAAAGGATTAAGCAATCACCATACACGGTAGTGAACAATGACATCATCGGAAACGTGATATTAGAATCACGAAGCATTTTATCCGTCTGACGAATTTATCGAAAGATTCTTGTTGAAAGAAGTTTAACTAGTAAAATAGCAATATTTACAGTGCATCTAAGGGAAATTTTTTGACCTCCATAATACTTAAGGTGCTTAACTTTTTGCAGGAATATTTAGATTGACAAATCGGATTGATGTAAATACGGCCAGTATAGCGGGAAACGTTGTTCTGATACGAACAACACTGTAATGGTTTAAGCGCATTGTCAATTGAAACAAATTTTGCTGGAGGCTATAATGTATTACTATAAAAGCAAAGCTATTTACCTGTCATCCAGATGAGCGCTTATTACTGAGCCATTCGCTCTTTGACCATACGACGTCGTCGCGGTTTCCCAGTGCCCAGTTGAACATGGAAAACCTAGTCCCAAATGGTTATATGACATTGAGCTTCTCTGTTTGTAAACGACCTTTTTTTCGGTTTAATTTGATCGCCGCAAAACAGGCCGATGAAAATCCATAATACCAAATGATATGGTTAACAACACCTTTTGCGAAAAATTTGCGTACATCTATCAATTCTGAATGCGAATCATCTGCTACTAGAATTAGAAGTTACCATCGACCTTAGATGTTCCGGTTTGAACCCGGCTTTCTTGCTCTTTACGTATAGCACACATATTGTAACTTTCACTTTCAAAAACGTGCGTGTTTGAAGAAACTAATCTATTCCACGTTTTCGACTCTAGATGACTAAAACAAAATTCGACGCTTTTCCTTTCAAGTGACAACGAAGGGGTAAATTGTTTCTTCAGTCAACTTAAATAAGAGGAAACGCCAAAAATAATTCCAGAGTTCTCTATCTTACCGAAGTTGTTTCGTCTTGGGTGACGCCGCGGTAGTCTATGTCATCTGTTGTCGCAAAGTTTGATATGAAAACAATATGCATTGTGTTGTTCTGCCATTCAACCGACCGCAAATTGCACCAGGAAATATTATCTTTTATTTCATCTTTATTCACATAGAGCTCGCACGTGTAAAATTATCATATGGTTTGTTTTGTTTACCAACGTTATAATTTTCAACCTCACAGGTGGTTTGAAGAATAATAATTTAAATCGTAGACTAGTTAAGGAAAAAACGACCTTTGGCAGTACACGATAAGTTTAACCCTTTCTCTTGTTTCTGGGAGCAGCCCACGTGACCAAGAACAAAACCTATTTGCGGCTGCTTCGAAACCGAAAAAAAGATAATTTCATGCGTATTTTGTCAGTTTAATTGTCACTTTTTCTTCTTCAGTTTATGTGGCCATCGTTACTGAAGGGCGGTTATGTATTTACATAACTTAGATCTTTTTGTTTCTTTATTTTCACGCGTGAATAACCTACGTACCCCAAACAAGTTCTTGAATTTAAAGTTATTGACTTGCAGGCACCACATTTAGAACTAGCTTGTGTTTAATTGCACAACTGCGTCGTGTAATTAACGTATATTAATTATGCACGCGATAAGTTAACCTGGCCAAGTAGCAGTCGTATGAAAGTTGTGACACTCAACTGATAATGGAGATGCAGTTCAAGAGAACTTTTGAGTCGCTTTCATCGTCTTTATCGCAGCTGCAAAGTGTTGGAGAGGTTTATTTATATTATTTTTTTGTAGTATTGACTTTATTTTCACTTTTACGTCGCTCGGATCGTAAGATTTCGTTGGTTTAGCCCCGCGTTTTGGATTAATGAATACGTACAACACGCGCAAAGGCGGACCGTCTTTGTACGGGAATTACATAGAAAATAACTTCAGCAAAAATTTTTGAAATATGATATGCAGCTGTACTGGAAAGTGCTTAGCCAGGTTTTCAGTTTTTTGTTTCTTTTTGTCGCCGTCAAATTAAAATCATTTGCGAAACTGAAAACACGAGTACGCAGAAATTGAAAACAACGTCAAAACATGCCTAATACCCAATGCACAGTGGATCATGAGCGGTGAATATATCCAACATCAACATCAAAAGATGCATCCGGCCCATTTGCTTTCATTTTCTGATCTTTATTGGCGTATTTCAGATGCCAAAGCCTAAAGAACTGAACTATTTAACGTTTTAGCAATAGTAGAGCTCTATTTGTGGAACAATCTACACCAAATCAAATGTAGGCTGTGCCGCCTTCCACATCGGGTGATTCAAAAGAAAACTCTAACAGAGGCAAGACCACACCTCAGCGGCAAACCAATGAGGAGGGCCGGATATTCTTCACTTCTGCCTTTTTTTCCTTCCCATGAAGAACAGTGCCATCTTTTATTAGTTCGGTTTCCAAAGAATATGTGGCCTTTTCCCATTTTTGTAGTTACGCGCGCATGTGGCGTGTTTAAAATATAAATAAAGACAAGAGTTTAAATAACGATCATGTTTATTGATAGTTCTAGTTATGCTTAAGATGGAATGAATGAATTTTGCTTTCTTTTGTTGAAATAAGGACGTTTTGAATTCATTTCCTCATATCAGTTTTTTTTCTCGGTATTGTTTTATTACGTTAGTTGTATGCTACCTTTTCGAAAAAAGTTAAAGTGTGAAATAGTGAGTTAAATGAATATACCGTATTCGTATTCTCGATATAGGACTGGAACTAGCTTGCAAGTGAGGCCAATGTGAGGAGCCTTTTCAAATGTAAAGGCTCCAAGGTTAGCATTGCCTTATTCATTAATCATACCACGGAACTGTATGTTGGGGAAAAAAAAATTATATTAAGACTTAAAAAATTATATTAAGTTAAAAAAAATATTAAGAAATAAATCTAAAAAGACATCTCTTTACAAAAGCTCCATTTCAACCGTTCAGTTTTCACTCAGTAGAAAGTATGAAGTCATGACCCCTATCTCTAAGAGCCCTGTTACGTTTAGGTGGAAGCAAGTCATACGATATATGACCAGTGCCACTATAGTGATTCTTTTAAACAGAGCATTTTCCCTATTCTTTCTTATATCAGATATCATATATTATGTTTTTGAAGCGCCGGATTTATTTTCATTTTGACATCGCTCGGATCGCAAATCTTTTCTTTGGTTTCCAATGGTACTATTATGCCGCCATTATGCTCGATATCAGCTATAATGCTGGAAATTTTATTGGCATAATGGTGAACCGCTGAACAGGCAGACCGGGTCATACATACTCTATTTATTTATTCAAATTAAGATAGAAACTACAGTTACTCGAGTTTCACCGGCGTGTGACAGGTGATCATTAGATGATCGCTTTAAGCGTGAAACTCGAGTAACTGTAGTTCCTATCTTAATTTGTATTTTGCATCGAACACTTCTAGGACTGTATGAAAACAGGAGCCATAATCGGGGACGGAGACCGTAAGCGCGCGCTATTTCTAGTATTGGGGCTGTCCCTATGATATGGGACAATAGTTTTTGAACAAATTGCGCCATCATGTGCGGTACACGCGCGTACATGCTGCGAGGATTTTTGCGGATGTAGCGCGGGGAAATGGAGTCCGAAATTCCCGAAATGTTTGATGCTTTTGGCCCACAACTCAATACGTTCGTGTCTGTTGGAATTTTACTTCAGTATTTTCGTCGTAAGCTGCTCCAGTTTGAGTGAAGTAAGACAGTGTCACTGACCATGTTATGTTCCGCTGCTTCTTTCACAAGAGTTCCGCATTACTCCACTCTAAATTTCACATATGTTGAAGATTAACAGCTTTTCCATACCACAGCAAAAAAAACTAGTTAGATGTTGTTATATTTCGATATAGCAGCGTTTCAGGACTTCAAAGATTCCCTCCTCTTGCCACACGCTTGCGACGATTTCGCCAGAGTCTATCGCGACCGAAAAGAAGAAAAAAATAATTGCAAGTTTGAGTTTCGCCTGAATTGTAAGCAACGCTTGATGTTTTATCAACGCCCAATAAGTGACAATGAAGTTTATGTCTGTAGACGTTGCTCAGTTTTGTTTGTGTAAAAATCCAATAAATTGTCTGTTGTCGATGAATAAGAGCGCCCGCCGATGTGTGTTTTG